CCTCAAAAAAAAAAAAAAAAAAAGAATAAATGGTTGTGAACTGAATAGAATTTGAGGAAAACAGGCAATCATGTGCTGCACCTGCAAATATTATGATTCAAAGTTGGTAAACACAGTTCCTTCCCTCTAAATTCAGCAATACATTGTAAAGAGAAGAACACAGTCAACATTTATAGAGCGCTTACTAAGTGCCAGGAATTGTTGTAAGCACTTTATATGTTAATATAGGTATTATTACAGTAGTCTTTACTTATCCACAGCATGGTTTCAGTACATGTTTCAAAAGTATTGAAATATTGAGAGACCACATTCATACAACTTATACTGGCGGCGGTGGCGGGGGGGGAGATGGGAGGGAGGGGGCGAGCTAGGGGGGAGGGAGAGAGAGAGACAGAGAGAGAGAATTTTTAAAGATAGTGTCTTGCTTTGTTGCTGGAGTGCCACTGGATAAACACAGTTCACTGCAATCTCGCCTTCTAGGGCTCAAGTGAACCTCCTGCCTTAGACTCCCAAGTAGCTGAGACCATAGGCATGTGCCATCATGCCTGGCTAATTTTTATATTTTTTGTAGAGGTGGGGTCTTGTTATGTTGCTCAGGTTGGTCTGAAACTCCTGGTCTCAAGCAGTCCTCCCACCTCAGATTCCCAAAGTGCAGAATTACAGGTGTAATTACAGCTCCCTGCCCTATTACAGTATATTGTTATAATTGTTCTATTTTATTATTAGTCATTGTTAATCTCTTACTGTGCCTAATTTGTAAATTAAACTTTATCATAGGCATATATGTATAGGAAAAAACATAGTATATACAGGGTTCAGTACTGTCTGTGGTTTCAGGCATCTACTGGGGTCTTGTAATATATCCCCTGCAGATAAAGGAGGGACTACTGCATTTTACGCTTTCTTCCCCCCAGTTTAGAAATGAGGGAATTGAGTCACATCTAGTACTCAGAGAAACCCTGGAGCAATCTGGCTCCAAGTAAATACAGGGCAACCAGAGATATTACGCACATAAAACTTTCTGAAGGAGAAAGAGAAAAGCAGCCCGAGACACTTAAGAATTGACCTGTCACTATCACCTGGGCCTGGGTGTTGCTCCAAGTTTGCCTGGCACTCACAGCTAGGTCACATCGTCCTCCTGTTGAAAATGAACAATCTCATAGAACATCAACATCAGACTAGTCCAATCTGTGACCATGATGGATCCAGACAGAAATAAGACCACTCCCTAACAATGTCTGAACACAGTAAAAAAAACAGGAATACTGTCCAAGCCACAAAAATGACCAAACATCCATTTTCTTCCCTATCTAATATAAGTGACTATTTTTTTATTTTTTATTTTTTGAATTGGACTCTCACTCTGTCACCCAGGTCGGAGTGCAGTGGCTTCATCTTGGGCTCAGGCAACCATTCCACCTCAGTCTCCCAAGTAGCTAGGACCACAGGCACGTGCCACCTTGCTAGGTCAAGTTCAGGATTTTTTTTGTAGAGACAAGGTCTTACTATGTTGCCTAGGCTAGTCTCAAACTCCTGGGCTCAAGCAATCATCCTGCCTCAGCTTTCCAAAATGCTGGGATTGCAGATGTTAGACATCATGCCTGGCAAGTTTTTTTCTTTACCAACTATTGTGTTGACCTTGGTCTAGTCTTCTCTCCTTCAAGACAAGATTTTTTTTTTTTTTTTTTGGAGACAGGGTGTCTCACTCTGTCACACAGGCAGGAATGCAGTAGCACAAACAGCACAGCCTTGGACTCAAATGCAGCCTTGGACTCCTGGGCTCAAGCAATCCTCCAGCCTCAGTGTCCTGAACAGCTGGGACTAAATGTATGAGCCATCATGCCCGGCCCATCCTTCTAGATAACAAAACCAATCATAGATTCCTCCCAGACAGCATCCAATATAGAACAAAGTCTCATTTCTTTATCCTTCCCCAAAATCACCTAACAAAAGCTCAAATCTAAGTTCTTTTCCAAATTCTTTTTTATTAACAAAGTTAGTAAGAGTACAATGCTTGAAATAAGTTTGATTTCTTAGTGAAACAAACAAACAAATACAAGCGCAGTCGAAAGCTATAGGCCTGACTGCCTGCCCATGTTCTGCAGTAGGCTTCCACAGAATTCTGGGTTATTGCTGTTCCCAAAGGTGGTGCCCTGAACTTTCACTGATTCATGTAGTGTGTCCTCCCTCACTGTAAATGAGTAATAAACCCAACTTGTTCTAACTACACGTATGATCCTGGTGATCTTTGACTGGAAGCACTAACACAGCTAGTAAAACAGTGGTAATGTCAGCCTTATAAAATTCAGAATCAAGGAGTGCTTTGTAAATGTACGAGAGGGGACCCCAAAAAAACTGGAATTACTTTTTGGAGGGCAGGCCCCTTGTAATATAGGCTCCCCCCATGAGGTAAGTGTTCTAGGAACTCACAGGTGTGAGTATACCAGCTAGCACTGCTGTGAGAGGCCGCTTTTGGCCTCAGTGAATATTTTTTGGAGATTCTTTCAAAGGGTTTACCCATTTCATGATGGGTGATTTATGACAGAACTTGCCCACACAGCACTGAGTGTTCAGCAGTTTTTGACCAAAAATGACAAGACCCTCATTCCTCACCCTCCCTATTCAACCGATCTTGCTCCAAGCAACTTTTTCCTTGGATGAAAAAAAGTTCTCAAAGGGAAACATTTTGCTAATGTGGAAGAGGTAAAACAAAAAATAGCAGCAGCACTATAAGGCATCAGAATTGACAAGTCTAAAACTGTTTTGAGCGTGGAATGAGTACCTCGATAGGTGCATTGCATCAGATGGGGAGTAATTTGAAGGTGACTAAAGAGTAAACACATAAGAATACATAATTTTTATAAATAATTCTGATTTTTTTAGTCTCCCTGTATACCATTATTTACTTTAATTCTTCACAACATTAAATTGACCTTTACCAATCACTGAAAAAATTTCAATAGTAAGAAAATACTTTTTTGCTTACCTGACATTCCATCCATAGTAATGTACCAAATATAAAACTTCTCCATCATCAATTTCAGTGCTTTTAATACTGGCTTCATAAATTTTCTGAGTTTTCCCTCGTCCATATTTGACTTTCACTTTGGTTCCTGTTAGGCAGGGTTCCATGTCTTCCTCATCTTCCTCCCCTTCAGAGTCACATTTGCTTTCAGTTTCTTCCCTGTAAAGAGTTACAACATTGATAATGCTACTAATTACTTAATGGAGAACAAAATAATATGTGCCAAAAGAATCCAACATGTAGAATATTCATGTTCACAACCTAGATATTACCTTAATAACACGTCCGTGGAGGAGGAGAAGAAGGAGGAGAAGGAGAAGATTTTTATGGCCTACTTACTAAGGAATTTATTATGTAAAGGTGCACTGTACCAAAAGTAAATCCATACTTCTTAAAGGCCAATCAATGATCACAGTTAGTGATGTTGTAGAATTAATCATTTTTGAGAAAACAAAATAAGAAAATATGCTCTGCAAGTCTCTAGGATTCATATTCAAGTGCCACTTCATATGTTAAAATGATCTAAGGATATTTCATAACTTCCTGCAACTAAATTATTCAAAATCTACTTTACGACTACATTCTGCTCAATCTAGAATAGTTGTTAGGGAACTAGTTTTTATGGAGGGCAAAATAACAAACAAAGGCTATCTACCTTAGTAACCATATCTTTTAAACTAGTTTATATTTTAAAAGTTTCCCAGACCTAACAAAGAAACAATAGATACCTGAAATTAGGTCACTTGTTGACACTGTTGGATAGTACCAAGAGAACAAAGGTTTGCATTTTGTGTTGATTTCAATTTGTTTACTCATCTCTCATCAGCTTTCCTTTGTACTGATAATCAGGTATAAAGAAGATTCACAGGGAGACCCAACGGAACTTATTTTTGCACCTTATTTTAATACTTTTACAATAAAAATTCTGTATCAACCATGCAAAGATTCAGATGAGAACTGCATCAAAGATCATTCTAGTGTCACAAGAGATTTATAGGTTTAAGAGAAAGTATTGTGCTCTATAATAAATTTAGGGCATTATTTTGGTGGTCCCTAGGGGAACTGACATGAAGAAGTTTTGACAGCCCATTTGCAGGAGGAATGGTTTCTCTCCAAGCACCCCTTTCTATAATAGACAGATGAGGTAATTTCAAAACACTATGCACGAGAAAAACTGCTTAAAACAAATCTCTACAGATAAAGTTTCCTCATTTCCACCATGATTTCTGCTACAGAATGAGAATACAGACTATATTCATTGCCTATATATTCAATTTTTATTTAATAAAAGAGACTATATTCTTCATATAAGTCTGTGAAATTTTCTCTCTAAAATAAATCTTTGTCCATTTATATACCAATTATGAAGAATTTTTAAACCACATGCTATTTATATACACAGATGAATTATATGTTTTATATGTATTATATGTATATTTTGATGCTTATATTTAACAAAACTTCAAACTATAATTAGGCCCTACTTTTTAAGCAGTTCATCTTTGCTTAAATTTTTTTGTCCAAATATTTAAAAGGCCATGCTTGTATCATTATACTCAACTCTAATTATTTCCTCCCACTTTCCTAACCCTAATTATATTTCATTTCAGAACATTCTTTTATTCACTAACCTAGTTCACACATAATTGTGATAACTCCTTACCTATTTGTATTGCATAAAATTACCTCTCCCACTCACCAATCATTCCTTTTTCAAATATTTATTCTCTCAATGGTAGGCCACTTTTCCCAGGGTTAACAACTCAAATTTCTAGAAAATTTAACATCGCATAATACAATAGTAAAAAAAAAAACTATGTAGGGAAACATATTACAAGTAAGTGTGTTATGCTGTTGCTGTTCTCTTAAAATTAACTTTTTAGTATTATTTAAAAATCAATAAATCTACTTGACAACACTTACAGAAATGGCCAACTAAATAACATGGTTGGACATTACCTTGATCTAGCTGGACGGCCTAATTTTTGGCTACTTTTAAGTCAATACAGTCCATACATGTCTAATATGTGGAAAAAAAAATAGTTTTCACTCAACAGCAAACAGAATGGACGGTTAAAAAGCTGAAATTTATTGGTGTGATGTGGGGCAAGAATGTATTTTCCAAACTAGAATCAGGGGTGCATGCCACTTATCCTAATACAGTAACTTGAAAAAGAAAACGGTCTTAAAGCTAACACACAAACATCTGCTAGTACGGTGCACCCATGTGTTTGTTAGCTTTCCCACATTGTACCTTTTTTAAAATGGAATTTTTGCTGTCGCTGTTTCCTCTTGTCCACTTCCTCCATTTTTCTCCAGCTCCCTTCCCTGCTGTCAACTGCAGGACCTTTCTTTTGACTGGGTGGCGCAGCCTTCTTTGAGGCCACTGTTTAGGGCACAAGTGCTATTAAAATGGTGCGACCAGTATATTCTCCAATTCCGAAAGGCGATACACATCATCTTCACAATGTGTCTCACCTTCATTAGACAAGAGGAACGGAAGTCCCAATAAGAAAACATTCCCTCAAACCTGAATCTCTAAGCAGGAACAAAGCGCTGATGTACCCCAGACAGGTGCTTCTGGAGAACAAACATAAGATAATGTACCTCTCTTGGCTTTTCTCTTCCTCTTCATCTGAGTCTTTGTCAGAATCCTCCTGCTTTTTAATTTTCTTCTCTTTTTGCTTTGGTGTATTTTTTCTCCCCAGTAGTAGCTCATTTTCTTTTTTTTCTGCAGTTTCATAGTCATCATCTACATCCCTATTGTCTGTATCATTATCTTTTAATTTGTCTTCTGTTTTCTCTTCTTCAATTTCCTTTTTAATAGAATTCACATCTCGAGCAATTCTCCTTCGTCCCTAATAGAGGGAATAAAAGCTTTAAAATAGCATTCACTACAAAGGGTAAAAAAACATTAAAAGATCTTTTCCTTTAACCTTGACAGCAATGACTACTCTACTCTCTGGCTTGGGACATGACTATAAAAACCGAACACCTCAAAAGAATCTTTCTCTTCCTTTTGAAAGTAAAAGAATAATCAATATAAATTTATTATGTCCAGGTCTACTACGATCCTTGGCTATATAATACATAAGAAATAAAAATTTTCTCTTTTGTTCACTACATTATTTTATTTCACTTTTAATATTACTTGATTATAATAAAATTTTAATTATCTAAATGTCAATAATAAAAGTTAACAATAACAATAAATCCATTCCCTAAATTACGGCCTCTTTAAAAGCTGTATGGTCCCTAATTCTGATTACTAAAACAAAATGTATTATTATCACTATATTTGCGTGTATCTACATTTTTAAAGGACTGAATTGTATCAATGGCAATAAACAGATTTCTTTGAATGAGTATCTGGAGAGCTCACTGGGCCAGTAGAAACTTGTTTTACCTCCAGGAGCTTCTATCTAGCTCTCCAGCTCTCTTGCATGCTCAACTGACTAGGAAACTGGTGAGTCATTTCACTATCTCCCAGACTCTCCTCTAAGTCAACTTCTATACACTGGCAGAATTCCCCTCTTCTTAGAATAAGCAAAGAGAAAAGAGACAGCAATTTAGGGAGCATTCAAATACAATTAATATCTAAGTAAACAAATGTTTTCCCTAGTTGCTGACTATGTGTTATTTACACTTCAAAGGCAGAAAAAGAAGAAATTTATTTTGGTACAAAGCACTAGAATGTAAGTTCTGTGACAGCAGGGACTTTGTACTCTTCACTTCTGTCTCCACAGATTTAGACAGTGCCAGGCACACAGCAGGTGCTTTTTAAATATGTGCAGGTAAATGAATGAAAACAACTGTTACCTATCAAATTTAGGTCTGTATACCTTTATCCCAGAAATCCCATTTTAGAAGCCTGGCTTATATATTCGAATAAGTGAAAGAATAGGTTTATAAACATAAGTATCGCAGCACTTTTTAAATAGTAAAAAATTGGAGAAAATCTTGAGGAAAGTAAATTTATGGTTCATCCATACCATATGGTACACTGCAGATGTTTTACACAGAAGGAGGAAGGTCTTAGGTAATGACAAGAAAGTATGTTCACAATACAATTAAACATTATTCACCTTTAAAAAGGAAGGAAATTCTGACACGTTACAACATGGATGAACCTCGAAGACATTATGCTGAGTGAAGTAAGCCAGTTACCAAGAAATAATGCTGTATGACTCCACTGACATGAGGTACGTAGAGTATCAGATTCATAGACACAGAAAGCAAAATGGTGGTGGCCAGGAGTTGAGGAAGGGAGAAATGGGGGGTTACTGCTTAAGGTACAGGATTTCAATTTTGCAAGGTAAAAAAAATTCTGAAGCTGGATGATGGTACGGTGTGAATGTATTTAATGCCAATAAACTGGCAACTTTAAAATAAATAAATAAATAAATAACCAGGGGCGAGGGGGTCAGTTAGAAGCCCAAACTGCACCTGCATGTAGCCTACTTATGTAGTTAGTCCTCACTTGTACCCTACGTCTCTATTATAAAAAAAATTTTTTAAGGTAAAATTAAGAAAAAAACAGTTTGAATATTTCATGAAATTCACTAGATTCCATTTACTAGAAAAAACAGTTTTTAAAAATGTTTTCTGAACAAATAAAAGAGAAAGCAATTTTGCCTTCTCTTTCACTAAATATGATTTCACTGAAAAATAAGACACAAAGTAATTAAGGTTCTTTGATACTATGGCCAATTCCTTTTTCCTTCGAAAATCTGATAAATCATACTATGTAGACATCACTGGACACTGATAAGAATGGAAGATAACAATTAAATTAAATAGACCTATATAATTAAATAGACCTATATATTAATGAAGAGGAAGAGTAGAGTTGGAAGATAAAACCAGTGTACACATGACTAGAGTTATACAGTGTGCAATAAAGTTACAGAGAAAGACAAAATGCCATCTGGTTGGGGACACAGACACTATAAAGAGGAGAGTCATTCATTCAGAATCTATTTAATAACCCTTTACTGCAAGGTACGGTGTCTCATGCCTGTAAATCCCAGCACTTTGGAAGGATGAGGCAGGAGGACTCTTGAGGCCAGGAGTTCAGAATCAGCCTGGGCAACATCGTGAGACCTCGTCTCTACAAAAAATGAAAAAAAAAAAAAAATTAGCTGAGGTTGGTGGCACATGCCTGTAATCCTAGCTACTCAGGAGATGAGGTGGGAAGACCACTTAAGCCTAGGAATTAGAGGCTGCAGTGACCGATAATCATGTCATTGTACTCCAGCCTGGGCAACAGAGTGAGACTCTGTCACTAAGAAAATACAAAATAAGCCGGGCTTGGTGGCTCAGCCTGTAATCCCACGTTTTGGGAGGCTGAGGTGAGTGGATTGCCTGAGCCCACGGGTTCGAGACCCACCTGGGCAACTTGGCAGACCTCATCTCTACAATAAATCAAAAACTAGCCGGGCATGGTAATATACGCCTGTAGTTCCAGCTACTTGGAAGGCTGAGGCGGAAGGATTGCCGGAGCCCAGTAAGCAAGGCTGCGGTGGCTGGGAGCGGCCACTGCACTCCAGTCTGGGTGACAGAGTGAGACTCCGACTCAAAAAAAAAAAAAAAAAGGAAAATACAAAATAAAGATAATAAACCTTTACTATGAGCCAGGCACTATTTGAAATGTCTGTGATCTGTCAATGAACAAAGTAAACACCACTAATCCCTCCCCTCATGGGGTGTGATTCTAGTGTACAGTGGGGCAAAACAGTCAATAATAAAGAGGATTAAAAAAGTAAATTATAGATAAGAGCAACATTAGAGGGACTGAGAGTGCCAAAGAGAGAAGGTAGGTTATAATTCTAGATAAAGTGATCAGGACAGGCTTCAATGAGGTGACACGTTAGCAAGAGATGTGAAGGAAGAGATTATTTGAGACTGATACCAGATGAGAATGATTTAATCAAGCATAACTAGAAAACAGAAAGAAGGGTTTTCAAGTAGAGAAAATAATGTACAATATATTTTTAAGAGGTAGCTAGTAGTCTGGCTGAAGCATAGTTAAATCTTAGAAAATAAACTAGGTTCAATGTAGTACTTTTGTGACTATATGGAAATGGCTACAGTAAAAACTAAAATAAACTAGGTAACACTAATATTAAGTACTCACCCTCGAAGATTTTAATTCTATTTCTTCTCTTTCACTTTCACTGTTTGAATCAATGGTTTCCTCAGGTTCGCTCTTGACTTCTATTAAAGGCATTTCTTGATCTAGTTTTAGAGCCTCTTCCATTGATTCTTCTAAGTCTTTTTTTTCTTCTTTTACTTTTGGTTCATGGTGGTGAATAGTTCTGAATTGAATATTTGCAGAACGGCAGTACTCCTCAAAACCATAGAGATACCTAACAAACAGTATTTCATTTAAGAAATCTTACAGGCTTTGCATTTAACTTGAATACTATGTTATTAAACACACATATTTTTAAAATGTAAAACTCAGGTAATTTTTTTAAAAAGTACTTTTTCTGTTTTAGGTAGGATCATAAATAGAAAAACTGATCCTAAAACACATTTCTGAGAAATCTGACCTTGTGATAACTGAACATAGCTACCATAGTTTTGATATGAAGACTGTTCACCCTGCTGGGCGTGGTGGGTCACATCTGTAATCCCAGCACTTTGGGAGGCACAGGTGAGAGGATTGCCTGAGTTCAGGGGTTCAAAACCAGCCTGGGCAATTTGGCGAGACCTCACTGCTATAATAAATCAAAAAATTAGCTGGAGCTGGGCTTGGTGGCTCAGCCTGTAATCCCGCATCTTTGAGAGGCTTAGGTGAGTGGATTGCCTGAGCCCGCGGGTTCAAGACCCGCCTGGGCAGCGAGACCTCATCTCTACAATAAATCAAAAAACCAGCTGGGTATGGTAGCGAGCGCCTGTAATTCCGGCTACTCAGAAGGTTGAGGCGGAAGGATCGCCGGAGCCCAACAGGTGGAGGCTGCAGTGGCCAGGAGCGGCCACTGCACTCCAGTCTGGGCGACAGAGTCAGACTCCAACTCAAAAAAAAAAAAAATTAGCCAGGTGTGGTGGTGCACGCCTATAGTTCCAGCTACTTGGAAGGCTGAGGTGGAAGGATCACCTGAGCCCAGCAGATGGTAGCCATGAGCGTGCCACTGCACTACAGCCTGAGCAAGAGAGTGAGATTCCAACTCAAAAATATATACATATATTTTGTTCACCCCAAAAGATACAGCTCTATAACAAGTATCACAATTTCAGATACTACCTGCATCCCTGATTTTGGAAAGTAAATTGAGATTAAATGAGAAATGGAGTAAACCAGACTTGATACAATGAAATAACTTTCAGTCACAAATATCTATTAACCTAAGCCTTTTCATGTACTTTCTCTAACTTTAATGTTCCTTGATTCAGTATTCCTGTTAAAAAATTAAATGGAAAATATTCTCGGTAAATATGTATTCTTTGATGAATAAACTATACTACTTACTTTCTATAAGCAGTTTTTACATTGTAGGAAGCAGCTGAATTCAAAATAGGAATGCCAAGGTCCATATAAATTTGCTTCCATACAGCACCACTATCAATCTGGAAAATTAAGTTTTTGTGTTAACATTTGCAAAGGTAAATAATCTTTATACTAATATTTTATGTTCATTAATAAAATGTGTTTATTACCTAAACTGCACATAATAATGCAATATTAGATGCTTTAACCTTTCATCACATCAATAAGTATTACAAAAAGCAATGTTACACTTACATTGTCACATCCACCCTGATGATAAACCAGTCTGAAGAGTTTGAAGAGATTGAGATCTTTATAGCCCAAAACAGGTGGTTTGTTGATTGGAGTACCTTTTTAACATTAAACAAGTAGAAAGAAAATGTTTATTCAGATGAAAAATACTAATCTGAAAACAAAGCTACCAACTTTTCATCTCTCAATTTCATTAGAGGCACATATTTAAAGAAACTTAAATTATGTAGGAGAACACAAAATATTCTTTATATTCTTTTACAGCTTTGTGGGTAGTATTTAGATTCTAGCTGTTATACATGTACAACTAATAAAGTCACCTCTCTCACTGTTAATGAGTTGAGTGTAACTAAATTGAACCTTGGAACTGCAAGTCATGGTCAACAATATTGCTGGTTCAAGAAGCTTAGGCATGAACAAACCCAACAGAAAGGATAAGTTTTAGACTGGGGTTCCATTTTCACTTAACACAAATTTCACACAAAAGTTAAGACTGGGCAATAATCTGAAGGATGATTTCTGAAGGTTGCAGAATGTCTACAACCAATGTATCTGAGAATCTTCTAGGACTAATGAACATCTAGTGGCAGGATGAATTATAATGGTTCTGTTTCTTCTATCTATACAGTAAGTCCCCTACATACGAACCTTCAAGTTGCAAACTTTCAAATATGCAAATGTGATGCTAGCCCCTGTATGCCAGCTGCTGTGTTGTACTATACTACTATACTTTTTGAGGTGCTATACTGTAATATTAAAAATGTTTTATTTTGTTAATGTATTATTTGTGTGAAAAGTATTATAAACCTATTACAGTACAGTACTATACAGTCAATTGCATTAGTTGAGTATCTAGGCTAAATTTGCTAGGCTTATGAATAAACTGGACTTATGAGTGCACTCTCAGAACAGAACTTGTTCGTATGCAGGGGACTTACTGTATGATAAATCTCATTCTTTTTCAGAGAAGGATGATCTCCTGGTATATTTAATTTGTTGAGAACAAGGATCAGGCTAGTTTACGTTCCATAAATATAGCATTAGTAATTAATGAATATGCAGATTAACACTATAATTGGTCACGGTCTATTTCTGAAACACTAGAATTTTTTTTAGTTTCATAAGTTCGAGGGAAACTAAATTTAATTATATCAAAACTACTTTCCTAGATATTCCTATTCAAAATAGTAGACATTAATAGTTTGTTTCCATTCCAAATATTTAACTATTGTCAGGTATAGCTGATTCTTAGGCTTTACTTAAGATCCAGAACTATATACCTATGATACTAGCAAAAACAATGCAGACACATAGAACAGAATGTAAAAGTGTCAAAGAAATGACTACTTTAAAATCATACACATGACTAGGTGTGGTGCCTGTAATCCCAGCACTTTGGGAAACTGAGGTGAGAGGACTGCCTGAGCCCAAGGATTCCAGACCAGCCAGGGCAACTTGGCAAGACCTCATCTCTATAATAAATAAATAAATAAAAATTAGCCAGGCACGGTGGTATGTGCCTGTAGTTCCAGCTACTTGGAAGGCTGAGGCAGAAGGATTGCCTGAGCCCAGCAGGTGAAGGCTGTGGTCGCCATGAGCATGTCACTGCACTCCAGTCTCAGCAACAGGCTGGAATCAATCAATCAATCAATCAATAAGCATGAAAATACCTCTGTCTTCCATAAACTTATAAAGCTGTTGGAGGAAGTTGTCCCTCTCTTCAGGATCAAGTTCTTCCTCAGGCTGTAAATATAAAATATACAAATGTATATAGCACAGTGAATTGGAAGCGATACAGGTCTTTTGTTTTTTGTTTTTGTGAACCCTATATAAGGTGATAAAATTTTAATAAATCTGGAAAATCTGAATTTCTCAAAATCTTACAATAACAGATTTTAAGTCATATTTTGATACAGTTGATTTGATGCAACTATGAAGATACACAATGTCTACTCATCACCCCAGTTATTACTCTAACTCTGCCTTTGAGTATCACCATAAGGACTAAGAACCACGAGGAAAAGATTTTGGAATGGAATAGGAATGTTAAGTTTTCACCTCATGTGGTATTTTTTTTAACTCATCAAAATATTAAGTGGCTCATATAAATATATTGATAGGCACAATAATGACAAACATTATATAAAAATAACTCATATATGAACACTAAAGGTTTTGTTATTGGTGAATGAATATACACCAGAAGTTGCAAACTCACAGTGGCAAAGGATTTTTCTTTAGCTGTTACAATGCTCTAAAGAAATTTAAATTCATTTAACTGAGTTAAATACATTCTACTACGCCCTGGACCCTATCACTACCTTGCCTCACAACAGCCTGCTTTTCTCATTTGCCTTTCTTGTATGGCCTCAGTAGTTGACTTTGCAACTCCAGAAAATAAGACAATGAGAATTATTTCTCAGGGAAGGAGACTAGATACAAAATTACCAATTTATCTTCTTTAAAATTTTTTATTTAGAGTTTAGCAATACTATGGAGAAACAAAACACTGATACATTTCCTCTATATAAATGACCATAATTTTCAAGGACTACTTTTCTATGTTCTAAAAGAAGACCTTAGATTTTTTACTTTTTTTTTTTAAATTAAAATAAAGTTGCTAATCAGATTTTTGTCTTTTCATAGTCATACGCAAAGCAAAGACAACTGTCAGGCAATAAATACTGCGTGTTCAGTGTCCAGAGAGAAATAGACACTTTAAAATTACATTATCTAATAGCTAATAATATAGCCAGGATCAATGAACATGTAGTTGATTAAAATATATAATTAAATAAACCATGAGGCAATTAAAGGAAAGGGAGTAAGATCTTTTATTATTCTTATTTTCTTTTAGTACATTCATTCAGAGTGTTTTATAACACTGAAATGCTTTCTGCTTTACCAAATATAAAGAAAGTTAAGTCAAAGTTCTAGTAAGCCTCAAAAATCAGTAATTTGCAAAGTTAATAACCACTATAAAGCTAACAGGGGTCATTACTTAATGCTCAAATCATGAAATGGCATTTTTCCCCATATGAAATGACAAGTCTTGCTTTTACAGGGTTAACTGCCAATGAGTCAATTTTAAGAAAAGAAGTAATCCAATAGCCCAAAATCACTTCACACATTAACTTTAAGGATTTCTATTATGGGGAAAAAAACAAAACCAAAAACTGCCAGAGTGGCTCTATGCTTTGCCTGACCCTGTAATCACAATATTCTCCCCTCAAACTAAACCTCACTCAAGTATTCATGATCTTTTGAAATTTAGGGGAGACTGTTGTAGCTTGTTGCCAATATATGCAAAAGCAATTCTTTAAAAAGGCACTAATTTAAAATCAAAGTTGTTCCTCAAAAGTAAACAAAATCAACCCACAAACTGCAAATTAGGCATATATTAAGGTTGTAACAAACAAACATACGATAAATTTTTAATGATTAAGAATATAGGCCGGGCTCAGCGGCTCAGCACTTTGGGAGGCCAAGGAGTGAGTGGATTGCCTGAGCCCGTGGGTTCGAGACTAGCCCAGGAAACTTGGCAAGACCTCGTCTCTACAATAAATTTTTTAAAAAATTAGCCAGGCGTGGTGGCACACGCCTGTAGTTCCAGCTACTTGGAAGACTAAGGCGGAAGGATCACCTGAGCCCAGCAGATCAGTGCTGGGGTGGCCGCCGTGAGTGTGCTACAGCACTCCAGCCTGGGCGATGGAATGGGACTCCAACTCA